CTTGACCTGATTGGATCAAGGGTTCGAGGACAACCCATCCAGAATATATTAACATGAATCATATAAAAATAAAATTAATTCACTAGTATAAAATCGTCATGATTGTTAAAGGCTTTTCCCAACTAATTCCCATCCCTACTCACTAACACATTTAGATCGTCATTGGAATGGTTTCGGGTGACGCTAGGACCCGATTGGGATAGGGGTTGGGGTTGAAATAGTTTTTTTTATTTTTTTCAAGATTTAAACCCGGGTGCAAGTCTAGTCAGAGTCCAAAAGACTTGGAACCAATCCGAAGTAGGGTCATCTGGTGGGGACCCGACCTAGATCCGAGCGGACCATCACATCTCTCTCTTAGTTGCAAACCTTGAGTATTTCGGGAGTGATAACGTTTGGACCCTGTGAGGAGAAAGCTGCCATTACAGGAGCCGGGGTGGAACCCAGGTACGTTTTTGGACGTGTGATATACGCCATAGGATTCCTGCAATAAATAGATCAAAATTTTTATTCCCCATTAACACTAAAAAGTTTTTTGGGAAATTGTGACTATAGAGTATAGACCTTAGCTTTTAGAAAACACCATAAACTACCACGCAAAATATAACAATATTGTATTATTTTTTTTAAAAGAACACACTACAAAGCACCAATTTCACAAAAACCAAACAATGAAAAATGTACTATAACATACCGCACTAAATACCAATAATTTTGTGTTATTTTATACAAAAGAACACACTACAAAATACCCAATTTCACCAAATCAATAAGGGAAAAATACTCATGCTATTTGTCACAAAAACCACATAAACATTTTAATAATTAAAATTATCAATTTTAAAACAAATTTACCAAAATGAAGAAAGAATCGGATTTTTTCTTGATATTTACTTGGTAGATTTTATGTAGCTGAAAACTTGTGCGCCATCAGATAGAGTGAGGTGGGCTGCAGGGAGCACATGTGCGTCGGCTATAACTTCGTTTCCAGAGTCCGGATCATTGCATAGGATCATCCCGATGCCTCCAGCTTGCTTCACTGCCTCCCCTTTCTCGACCCTGGCATTATCACCCCGAAGGCAAGCAACAATTTTACCTTTTGTCTTTGTTGGATCAAGCGAGCCAATTAAGCAGTTCCTCCTGTAAAATTTCATGTATCATGCATTAATAAGGCCCAAACACTATATTGACATGGTGAGAGATATATATGAAAGAGATGGTGAGAGATATATATGAAAGAGACTAAAGGCCCAAAGAATAACAAAGCAAGATTTTAAAAACTTAAAAAAATAAAATTTATGCAAGACTTTGAGAAACGGAATACAAGTTGTTCTTCTATACTTACGCATTCAGAAGACTAAAATTTGATCGGGGATTTAAGATATCAGCACCGGAGATCAGAGGATAAAACTTCTCCTGTGGCAATGCACTTGAAAGGCTTTCGCCCTGTACAAAATTTCAAATCAGAAATTTAGGCAACCAAAAATTGCATGTAGAGATTATATGAATTTGAATGAAATCTAAGATTTTAATTTTAGAGAAGAGGGAAATGTTTCACTATGGAAGCCATTCTCTTATGGTAGATATCAGTGGTTTTAAACAAGGACTCGGGTTGGGATTCGCTATGCTCTTAAGCCGTTTGTCTGACAAACTCAATGGATTCTGTCAAAGGTTCGGCGGAGTTTCGAAAAGAAAAAGACTAAAATATTGTTTCTGACTTCCAGATTTTTGATATATTGGGTCCCCAACTCAAAGAAAAAAAATATCTTATAGAAGTAATATTGAGCTGATCCACACTAAGTTTCCTTGATCTTGGGTAATGGCATAATCAAGACCATTCCAATGCGGATGGATGGTGTAACTCACGTTTTTTAAGATTAAATTTTTATATGAGTATATTTTTTATGGGATTGTCTACAAAGAGATCATTTATCTTTTGTACGTAGAGGTTATAATCATCCCCACTTATTAGATATTAAATTGGCTGGCTTGGAGTGAGTTATGAAATATTGAATTTTTTTTTTTTTTGAACTTTGTGTCTATTCATTGATACCTTCACAACCAATTATTTCGAAATTTAAGTGATAAGAATGATAGTGACTACCACATTTTTTATGGCTGCCGTCCATCAGCAGTAGAAAGAAACCCTTTGCAGCCTAACTATTCATACTCTGTTGTGAATCACGATTAATAACTGAGAAAGAATGATATGATCCATTTTGAACGTGACGTACGTGAAAACTTCACATATGTGGTCATAAGGATCAAAGTTGTCAATCCCTTCAATGGGATGAAGGTTGTGACCATCTATTTTGAATAAAACCTAGATCTAGGATAGAGAATATCAGTTAAATGTGAGAAATTTTGTGAATTCCTGGCGAAAATTTGACATATCTAAGTGCAGCACGAACCTTTAAATGCTTGCCACCAATGGAAACATAAGTCGGGAATTCGCGATCGAGAGTGCTCGCACCAACAGTGAGAATCCACGGTGCGATGTTGGTCGCAGAGCCAGGTTTGGGACCCGAGTTCCCAACCGAGCAAATGACAGAAATGCCTTTCGAAACAGCATGGAAGGCTGCGATGGCGATACCATCCTCAAGAAATGGATAGGGGCGGTCGCCCCCAAGAGAGACAGAGAGCACGTCGACGCCATCATGGATGGCAGCTTCAGAGGCGGCAAGGATGTCTGAGTCGAAGCACCCACCACTGATCTGTTCAGTTGTGGGCCAACAAACCTGTTGAAAACCAAAGAGGATATATCATCAAATTTGCAACAGACGCTCTATTTTTTTATATGATATGATGATTTATCATCAATAGAAGCACACTGGATGCACATAAGAGAAGGGAGTGACAGAAAACTATTGTTTTATCATAGTCCGAAGGACTATGGAAAACAAAGGCTCTTGGTGTCATTACCATCCATGAATGGGGTCATGCACTGTTTGATCTCAATGTCTTTCCATCATTGTCCATTTGAAAGGTAATTGTTGGGATCGATCGGTGAAAAAAACAACATGAATTTATCACATGGACAACTATTGTGCATTCAAATCAACATAAATAAACAATGGAAATAACATGGCATCAAAAGAACATCATGAAACGAAAAATACAGCAACATATATTCAAATAGCATAAAGATTTAATGTGGTTCAGTCACAAAATGTGACCTTTAGTTTTAACTCTCTCTAAACATGGCCCAAAACATAGTTCAAACACATTACTAAAGTATACTTTATCTCTCTAAAACAGGGCTCGCAACAGGGTCTCAAAACACCCAAGTTTATGCCCAAAATCTCTACTCTCTCTCTCTACAAAGTAGGGAAAACCAGGGCCACTAGTATCCACCATGTGTGTATTCTCATTTTCTTTATTTCTCACACTTTCTTTTTCTAAACAAAAAGGTTTTAATGATAGATAAAAAGTTCTTACAACATTACAATGGATTTGAAGCAATCCAATGGCTCAAAATGATAGGTAAAACGTAAAAAGAGTCACTTAGGTGATTTGGCTTCATACATAAAAGAGTAATGATAATAAAAAACCTTAATTTTACTATGTTCTTGGGTATTATATTATAATTTCCTATAAGATAGAAAACTACCCTCAAAATAAAAAATAGAAAAGGGGAGTTTCTCTGGCAATCAAGTAAACCCCATAAGATACTACAGTCTAGTGTAATAGAGCACCCTCAAATTAATAAGATAAACATCGAACCAGTGGCTATATTTTCTAGGCCGCTAAGCACCGGAATTTGAACCCGGGACTTGATGCTTTACGAGAAATGTGTGGGTCATCATCACCGCATAATGGGCGGGTTCGATGGTGATGTAAAGCCGATGGGGGCGGCTGGGTTCGATGGTGATGTAAAGCCGAAGGGGGTGGCTGAATGCGATATGACGCATTTCATCTCCATCACTATCCAACCCATTAAGCAGAAGGTTAGGTCTAAGATTATGGGGACAAAATTAATTAAAACTCCTTGTTCTAGATTTGAGAGAGAGAGGAAGAAGAAGAAAACCTTGTAAGCAGCAACACGAGCACCGGGGGCGCCACCCTTAGCGGTGCCGGAGGCATAACCAAAAATGCTGGCATTGGGGACGAAGGACCCTGCCGCAGTTGAGAGTGTGTGTGTCCCGTGGCCCTCGAAATCGCGAGGGGAGTTGGGAGCAAGGGGAGCACTGTCATTCACCATCCCAACGAATGCATTGTACCCTTTGTTGAAGTACCGGGCCCCAATCAACTTCCTAAGCAAAATATCAATTAACCTTTTTCATTGAAGAAAGTTACGCATGGAATTTCAAAATTCTTAAAACTAAGAAAATTGTCAAAAATTTCCTTTATGTTTTAACGAGTTTAAAACGAAAAATTTCAAATTGGTGCTATTTGTGTATTACTACATATTCCCAAATACAAAGATATACAAAATGAAAAATAATGAACGACAAATTATTTAGAAAACCCTCAAGGTAATTGAAAATAGCAAAATAGTACACCCCCAAAATAGATTTTCCGGGTCCACCTTAATACTTTTAATGAAATAAAAGTGCCCTTCAAAAAATTAATTGATTTTTAATATAAAAACAAAAGAAAAAAAAGAAGGAAAAGCATTTGTCTTATTTGTAACAGAAAAAGTAGAAGCATCAAAACTGACCTGTTACATTTCACTGGGAGAATTTGGGGGTCATCATTTATGCAGATTCCCTTCCACTTTGAGGGCACTGGTCCCATCCCTTCATCTCTAAAACTCTCAGACTCAGGCCACACACCTGCAAAAATTTGTTTAAAAATCAGATGAAATTTCACGAAATCAAGGACAAATCTCAGAGACTTCCACGACTTGAGCGATTCGGGTATTTAGGCTCGGAATTGCCGGCCTCCCCTTCCGGTCCAACTTGGGACCGACCCGGGTCAGGCAGACAATGTTGTTTTTAAACACTACTACCTAGATAAGCGTGTCTATTTTTTTTAGCCCGTAAAGAATGCTTTTTAGTGGCATAGATCAATTTTTAATGTCAAATTTTCGGGAAAGTCAGCCATTTTTTTAAACAAACTTCTAGACTAAAACGAATTTCTCAGCATTGCAAAATTTCTTAGCACTGCAAGTTAGAAAATTCGTATAAAACTATGACTTTCGATATAAATTATTGTTTCAAATCAAGGTTACAAAGATAGAGAAAAAGGATATTGTTGTGAAAGATTTAAATGTATCCTTTATATTATTAACCCTGAACGAATGCCACTCGACACCACCTCCCAATCTACCCAACTTATCATCTCATACCCCCTCTTCTCTCTTTCACACACTCACACTCACACTCACATACATACACATATACATTGTACCCATGTTATCATCTCATCCCCCTTCTTACACACACATACTACCAACCATGTGTCTGTATCCAAATTATTATCTCATGCATTCTCTCTCTATAATCAATTATAGTGACACATTATTGAGGGATAGATAGGAGGAGCCCATTTCCCCTCATTCTCTCTCTCCTTCGTACTCTCGGTACAAATGATACTATATTAATTAGGATCTTTTAAAAATTATAATTACTTATATTGGATCGTAGACTTCAAGATATTTAATTTAGAGAAAATTACACATTTATTCATTATATTTTAAGTTATTACGGATGTATCGAATAATTTTCATTATTACATGTCTGTCCATTTTTTACTTGTCATAACACAAATTTTTTAAAATACGATTTTACCCTTTTTCGAGTGTTGAAAAGCCGAATTGAAGGGTTTTTCGGATGTTCAACATCCAAATTCAATGTATTTTTGGTTGTTCAATATCCGAAAATGTGATATTTTCGGATGTTCAACATCCGAAAATTTGACTGCCAAATTCCAGAAACCATTTTCGCAATATTTCGCAATCATATTTTCGGATGTTGGACATCCGAAATTCTAGAGACTCTGAAAGTGGGAATGTGAATGTTAAATTTTCAGGCTATTTTCGGATGTTAAACATCCGAAAAACCATTCAATTCGATTGTTCAACACCCGAAAAAGAGTAAAAACAAACAGGCATGTAATAACATATATGTAATAACAGAAACTATTTGAGACGTCCATAATAACGCAAAGTATAACAGACATGTATGCAATTTTCCCTTGAATTTATAAACAAAGTATTATAATGAAAATCATATGGATATGATTAATGGAGCCACAAGGATAGGCAAGTATCATAGAATAAGAATTTTAATTAGAAATTAATTTAATTTTAGAAACCAGTTAGTTTTTGCAAGTGTCTTGCATGAATATATATAAAAAAGGAGCAAAAATAGAAATTCGATGAAAACGGTCCAAAGTCTCAAACCTGTTGAAAGAAGGTTTCTAAATGTGCATTCCTTTTTTATATATATAAACTAATCCAATGATTTTATAAACTTTTAGATTAAAAAATTAATACAAAATGTAAAAAACAAATAAACACGTACATTTGATATAATTGTGTTTGATTAGGAATGAAAAATACATGAGATTAAAGCTTAGAATACTTAAACATGATGAAAATACATGAAATTAAAAAGGAAA